TTGTATTATTATTCATAATTTTTGAATATTAAATACATGACATGATTAATTTTGAACTGTACTAATTACATCTCAGGTTATTCTGAGGATTAGTGTTATAAAGGTATGCATGAAGCATAGTATCTAGTACAAATGGTTTTACAGTTATTAAAATTATTCTAAATATATTATTTAACTGTGCCTCCCAAAAATATACAGATATGGTAGAGTATCTTCATACTCACATATAGAAAATTGTGTTTCAAATATAAAAAATCTCTTTGCTCCTCTGAAGACCATCACAATCTCACAATGTAGCAGTAATTTTAAAAATAACAATATGATACCAAATTTATGAAAACTTCTACTTTCTGTTTGCTTTAAACATTATTTTCCTTTGCTCTGAATTTAATTGTTAGTGCTTGACTTGATATTCTTACTTAACAATATGTAGTTTTTTACTGATCTCTTCATTAAAATACATTGTTTGCTTTCTAGTCATGATCTGAATCAGGTAAGAAATAACAGAAAAATATAACTAATGGGAATATTTCTGTTAAAGAAAAATCATAGAAAGCTAAAAGGAAAAATGTATGAGTATAATAAAAGATAATAAGTTGAGATTTATTAAATAGATAGCAAGATTTCATCATTCTTTTGTGGCATTCTCTTCATGTGTCTTAATATTTCATGTGATTTTTTAATTACATTCAGATCATCAAAATCCAAGGGAATAAAAAGACTGATTAACTGTAAATTTATTTGTCAGATTTTTCTTCTCATCATTTAAACTATATGGGGCTTATTTCTTGTATAGGTTTTGCATTAGACATGCTTCTTCAGTTGGGACAAGAATACATTTTCAATTTTAGATACTGTCACCATATTGTACATTATAACTCCATAGCTTTTTCATCCTGCATTAGTGGGTCTTTGTATCTTTGACCAACATCTGCACATTTCCCTCCCCCACCAGCCCAGGGCATCACCATTCTACTCTCTGCTTTCATGAGTTCAACGTTTTTACATTCCATATGCAAATAATATAATGCAGTTTTTCTCTTTTTGTGTCTGGCTTATTTCACTTTGCATAGTGTCCTCCAGGTTCATCCGTTTTGCTCCAAATGACAGAATCACCTTCTTTTTTAAGGCTAAATAATATTCCACTGTATATACATACCACTTTTTCTTTATCTGTTCATCCATCTTTGGACAATTAGGTTGATTCAATATCTTATCTACTGTGAATTATGCTGCAATGAACATAGAAGTACAGCTGTCCCAAGATAGTGATTTAATTTCTTTCAGATAGGTAATCATAAAATAAATGATGGATCATATGTTGGCTCTATTTTTAATTTTTTGAGAAACCTCCATAATGTTTTCTGTAATGTTTCCTGTGTCCATTCCCACCAACAGTATACAAAGGTTCCCTTTCCTCTACATCCTTATCAACCTTTGATAAGAAAGAAAGATTGATAACCTTTGATAAGAAAATGAAGTCTCATTTTTCATTTTTCATTTTTCCTAACATGCACATTAGCCAGATAAGACTAACTATTTTTAACAGTAAATGTATTTAGGAAGGGGTTTCCCTGGTGACTCAGTGGTAAAGAATCCACCTGCAATGTAGGAGACTTGCAGAAAACACAAGTTGGATCCCTGAATTGGGAAGATGCCCTGGAGGAGGAAATGGCAACCCACTTTAGTATTCTTGCCTGGGAAATCCCATGGACAGAAGACTCTTGTGGGCTACTGTCCATGGACACAAAGAGTCAGACACAACTTAGCAACTGAGCACGAGCACATATTTAGGAAACTGTATATAAAAAATATACATAATGTTTTTCTTATATATGTGTGCTGTTTAAACAAATAAAATAAAGCACTCAAAATTGTGATTTTTAAAATATTTTATTTTAAAATAATTATGTATCCACAGAATATTGCAAAGAAATGTAGACACTTACTTTCCACTCTTCACTTAGCTTCCCCTCTATTAACATCTTGCATAGCTATAGTATAGCATTACAACCAGGAAACTGACATTGCTAAAACCGTGAATTATTCAGATTACACTAGTTACATATGCTCTCATATCTGTATGCGTGTGTATGTGCATGTGTAGATTTAATCAATTTTAGCACATGCATTGTTTTATGTAGATTTATATGCTCTCCCTCAAATCTCTAATCTGGCAACCACTAACGTGGTAATCTGTTCTCCTTCTCTATAAATATGTTATTTCATGAATGTTAAATAAGTGAGATCATGTAGTATGTATCTTCTGAGATTGACTTTTTACATAAAGTATAATTTCTTAGGTTTATATAAATTTTTATGTATATCAATGCTTTAATTTTAATTATAATTTATTTAAATTTGTGATTAAAGGTATTCAGAACTCTGAATACAAGATGATGATTTCAACGAGTCACAAGGAAAGCTTTTGGGATGTTTATAGTATTCTATCTCTTGATCCAAGATACGTGAGTATGTTTACTTTGGACAAATTCACTGAACTGTATATTAATAATTTGTGAACTTTCAGAATATATTTAATCCTGTAATATGAGCTTAAAAAGACATGGAAATGATAGAGACCAGTCTGAAATAAATACAGATGAAAACATCTTAAATGGAACCTTAGCAAATAAAAAGCCACTAGCTCTGGAACAATTTATGATCAAATTTTGTTTATTCCTGTAAGCTAAACTTAAAATTATTATATGTAAAATGACAGTCACAAATTAAACAAACTGAGAGACCTAAAAGTATTATTGTCTAATAGAGGAGAATCATTAGGTACGATTAAATCCTTCCTTGTATCAAAGGCAAAATTCAAACCTCAAAAGATTAAAGGTTTAAATGTGGCAGATAAAGTTTTAATAATTTCAGAGTAATGTTTAGGGAAGCATTTTATTATCTTGGGAAAAGAATAGAATTTCTTAAACAAGACACAGTGCTAATCTTAGAAGAAAAGTTTGTATAAATACAAATGCATTAAAGAATAAGTATTTATTAAATACATCCTTAAAAAATTAAAGCATAAATTACAGTCTGGGAGAAAATATTCACAACATAATTGATAAAAGATTATTTTTATAGAAAAGTTGCTATCTTAAAAACAAAAATGAAGAAAAAATATGATTGATAAATGGGAAAAATATATGAATAGTTCATAAAAGTGAAAATAATGAAAGTTTTTTAGGCTTATTTTTACAAGTGCAAGCAGTTTAATTTTCTGCATGCACATCAAAATTCAAACATACTTACTTAAAGGGATAGATCCAAGATGAATTTGAATCCAGCAGCTCTCCACTGCCTATAATTAGTTGTGTGGGACTAAAACACTTTATCAAGCATTAGAAGATAAAGTGGTCTAAATCTGAGCTGATAATTAGGACACTGGATCTTGCACTCTAGAAGAACAGTTACAAAATAAACTGGAGAGAATGCAAAGGAAAGGAAGGGGGAAGCAAAAGCAGTCACAACATTGGCAATAGCAGGGACTAAGTCTTGGGTATTCTGACTTCTTAGTTTTCACCATACACAGGACTCCAAGAAATGGAACAAATTGTTTAAGATGATAACAAGTCATCCACAGGATCAGGATTCTAAGTCAAATCTATCCAATTCAGTAGAGACCTTGCTTTTTCACATGAAACACTATTATTAGAGAACAGAAATCTAATTCTCAATTTTTGGTGTATTTTGACTTGGTCTCACCTTAATGACTCAGATTTAGAAGACTTTTCTTTTTAAAATTTCCAGAAAAGAATGCTTGACAAGTTAGCAAGCATGTATCTCATTAGCTCCTGGGAAATGTCAGATTCATTCACACATTTGGAGAGCTAATGATACATTTCTGGATGTTTTCTTATAACTTTTCTACCTAATTATAGAACACCTAGAAAGTTCTGTTCTTCTGTGAATTGTGGATTTCAACCCTATTTTAATTTCAGAAAACATGTACTCTCTGTGAATGTGTGGAGAGTAATATATGGATATACATGAAATACTTATGAATACATAGAGAGTAATATGTAATACTTTTCTGCCTAGTGTTTTACTAAATGTGTGTGTGCATGCTAAGTAAGTCCTATCCAACTCTGCAAGATATTAAGTTAGTTATTTCTAACAATCCATCTATCTCTTATCCACTCTATAAATGAGTCCATTTTTTTAATCATAAAAACTCAATTTACCCATCCACTTTAAGTAAGTAGGATTCAGCCCATATTCTTCTAAAGTTTTATTAAGATACAGAGTACACTGCTGACAAAATGCAAGGGGCTTCAGTTCAGTTCAGTTCAGTTCAGTGACAGTCGTGTCTGATTCTTTGCGACCCATGGGCTGCAGCACGCTAGGCTCCCCTGTCCATCACCAACTCCTGGAGCTTACTCAAACTCATGTCCATCGAGTCAGTGATGCCATCCAACCATCTCATTCTCTGTCATCCCCTTCTCCTCCTGCCTTCAATCTTTCCCAGCATCAGGGTCTTTTCTAGTGAGTCAGTTCTTTGTATCAGGTGGCCAAAGTATTGAAGTTGCAGTTTCAGCATCAGTCCTTCCAATGAGTATTCAGGACTGATTTCCTTTAGAATAGACTGGTTGGATCTCCTTGCAGTCCAAGGGACTCTCAAGAGTCTTCTCCAAAACCACAGTTCAAATGCATCAATTCTTCAGTGCTCAGCTTTCTAGTTTCTTTTTTTTTTTTCCATTTATTTTTATTAGTTAGAGGCTAATTACTTTACAATATTGTAGTGGTTTTTGCTATATATTATCTAGGGTGAAACAGATCAGCTTTCTTTATAGTCCAGCTCTCATATCCATACATGACTATTTGAAAAACCATAGGTTTGACTAGAGGGACGTTTGTTGGCAAAGGCTTAAATTAAGCAAGGGCTTAAATTAAGCAAGAGCTTAAATTAGATTGAAAGTTATTTCATACACAGAACCACTTAAAATCCCAAAGAGCCTAGGTACATGAAGCAGTTTTGTTCTGTGATTTCCCCCCCCCCCCCCAGGGATTTGTTTTTTTTATTTCATGCTCCATCATTTCCACAGCTATTGGCTTCATCAGCATGGTTTGATGTTATACTTCCACCACACTGGACATTTCAACCTGCAAAAGGGAAGAAAGGAAGACAAGGGTAAGAAGTCTCCTTTTAAACAAGCACCCCTCATTTCTGTTCATATTTCGTTGGTGAGCACTTACCTGCAGAGCCATAACTGGCTATAAGTGTGAGAATGCAAAAAGTAGTTCATAGGTATGCAGCCCAGAAAGTGTGCCCAGAAAGTAAGTAAAATCTTGTTTTGAAAGTAAGTAAAATATTGCTTGGAGTTGCTACTTTATTTTAATAAATTCCATAAAAATCAATAAGGATCAGAATTCATATTACGGCTTTTTACAACTATTTCCCCCAGAGATACAGGCTCAAGAACCATGTATTCTGCTTTACAGGTTTTCAAAGATGACTACCAACTGTGATGACATTACAAGGGTCACCAACTTTCCAACTTAATGGGTCCATCCCGCCTGACCAGTAATCAAGGTCACATATTTTAAGTTTATAATTTCTGCTTTATCTTAATTGAAGTTTAGACTGCAGTATCAAGAAGTCTTCAAGTGAAGTAACTATATTTTGTAGCCTCACCAGAAGCTAGGTACAGCCAGGACGACTTGGGGAATGTATTTTGTGATAAGTAGCATAGCACTTTAAAAATTGAAATACCACTATCATGCTCAAATGCACCAATAAAGGCCATCTAATCATTCAATTACATGTCAAAGTGAAAGTGAAAGTGAAGCCACTCAGTTGTGTCTGACTCTTTGTGACCCCATAGACTATAGCCCACCAAGTTTCTCTGTTCATGGAGATTCTCCAGGTAAGAATACTGGAGTGGGTTGCAGTGCTCTACTTAAGGGATCTTCCCAACACAGGGATCAAATCCAGGTCTCCCACATTGCAATGGAGTCTTTACAATCTGAGCCACAAAGGAAGCAAGATACAATTCTCTAACTCACCTTCTCTTTTTCATGATATCTTGCCTTCATTTTAGCAAGCTCTGTATCTCCTTAACTGCCTACATTTCTTAATCTATGTTTTATGAAAAGTGAAAATGAAAGTCGCTTAGTTGTGTCCGACTCTTTGCAACCTGTATATTTCATGGAATTCTCTAGGCCAGAATGCTGGAGTGGGTAGCCTTTCCGTTCTCCAGGGAATCTTCCCAACCCTGGGATCGAACTCAGGTCTCCTGCACTGCAGGCAGATTCTTTACCAGCTGAGCCACCAGGGAAACCCCTCTGTAGTTCTTAAATTTCCCTTCAAAGTTCTACTTCCTATTTCTAACTATCTGATTACATCTCCGTATTAAATGTCCATTCACTCTTTTCTAGTTCAAGCTTGCCATTGCTCATGATATGTCCTTATTTATTTTGCATAAAATCTTGTTTGTTTTACTTTCTCTTTTTGTCAACATTCAACACATTCTTCAATGCTTATGTCAAGTGCTAATAAAATAATCATGAGAACTCAGTGTTATATGAAGATTTTATCTGTTAAGCTTCAATACAGCTCTACATCTTTTTATGGAACTCATTCTTCAACCAAAGTTCTTTTCCTTAGTCATCTTTTAAGATCATCTTCCCATAAAATTTCCCTGGTGGCTCAGATGGTAAAGAATCTGCCTGCAATGCAGGAGACCTGGGTTTAGTCCCTGAGTTGGGAAGATCCCCTGGAGAAGGGAATGGCTACCCACTCTGATCCTCTTGCCTGGAGAATTCCATGGACAGAGGAGCCTGGTAGGCTACAGTTCCATGGGGTTGCAAAAGAGTCAGACGTGACTGAATGACTGACACTTTTCCATAAAGCCTACTGTGGAATGCTAGGATTTATTTGACATCACTTCAGGCATCTGATATTTTGAATTCCATGCACTTCTTCCCATCTGTCTCCATGGTAAGTGAGTCCATTCAGAATAGATACATTCAAAACCCTCTCAACAAGTCTAAAAAGACATCAGTGGAGATTTCAAAGTGTTGGACTCAAATTTTTTATGTCACAATAATTGTCCACAATAACTTAGGCAATATTAAGTACTGCATGTATGTTAGAAATTGATATGTACAATTTCTGAAGTGGAGAGCACACTGCAGGAAAATTCAATCATAAGAGAAAAACAATTAATAGTACTGTTCTAAATTGCATCCTGGAGAAGGAAATGGCAACCCACTCCAGTATTCTTGCCTGGAAAATCCCATGGACTGAGGCTCCTGGTAGGCTACAGTCCATGGGGTCGCAGAGTCAGGCACAACTGAGCAACTTCACTTCAAATTGCATTGTAGTTCATGAAAAATGCAAATACATTAAAACTTAACAATGATTGTGTGGTGAAGCCCCAGTTTCGAGACTTGTTTATCTGTCTTCTATATCTATATTTTGCCTCCAATTTATTTATTCTCTCCTAGGTGATGTCTCATCATTGGTTTCATTTGTCTATTTGTTAGCTTTTTTGTTTAATTCAAGGACTACATTTTCATTTACAAGACTTCTAGTATTTTGTTTGCCTGGTACTTCCTTTATTCTCACAGTTTCTAGTCCATTTCTCACTTTGAACAGTATAGACATGCTGTCTCATAGTCCTCTATTATCTTTAGTTCTTTGTCAATTATTTCATCGGTATTGTGAAAATTGTTTTTTGGTTTAATAGCCCTGGAATAAAAAGACTTTCTATAAAAGTTGTACTTATGCTTGTAATTATATGGGTTATCTAAATTCAAAACACTTTAAAAATTAATTTCTGACATGGAGTTTCTAATACTCATTGATGATTTATAGGCATCTTCTTCCTTGCTGCATATCTAAGACATTGCAATAAAAACCTATAGGGTCATTTCAAAGATGAGGCAGTATTTCCTCAATGTTGACTTAATGCAAAATGATTGGCTTCATTTCCCAGTAGCTGAATGTGATGATCTATGGCATGGCCATTTTCTTACTGGAACTCAACTTGTGTATCACCTTTTGATGTAGCCTGAAATGGTTAACCTTACGTCCTAGTTGCACTTTTACTTTATCCTCTTTTAGCTTGTAAGTTAGAATTGATTTTCTTTACATTTCTTGAGCTTAATTTGTGATGTCTGACACTTTTGTGACCCCATGGACTGCGGCCCACCAGGCTCCACTGTTCTTGGTATTTCCCAACCCAGAATACTGGAGTGGGTTGTCATTCCTTCTCCAGGGGATCTTTCCAATCCAGGGATTGAACCGCGGTCTCCTGGGTTGGCAGGAGTACTCTACCACTGAGCCACTGAGAAGTCATCTGAGCTTAATTATATGCAACTAGAATTTACATATTTTTCAAAGTAGGATTTTTTCTATTTCTATCATTTTCTCTAAATTTTTAACCAGCATTCTTACATAAATAAATGTTTTCCTCCCCTTTTTAATATTTTAATATTAAATGTCAATATTTGGTAATGATTTAGTGCAATACTTGAGTGTAACATAAGAATATAGGTCAAGTGTATATCTATAAGTTAAAAATATATTTTATCCAGAAATATTCACATATTTTTCAAAAAGAATAATTTAATTATCTTTATAAAGATTTCTCTAAAAAGCATTTTTACATTAAATATAATATAGTGAGGTTGATTTTTAAAAGACTATCACTGGACTAAATCTAAGGGTAAAGTTAGGAAAACTTGTAATTATCACTTTGATTCAAACCACTAAAGGCAAGAATTGTTTTTATTGTTTCTTTCAAATCTACATGGGGCAAATAAATGGCTGACATATTTGACAAAGAGACATAAAACAAACTTTAAAGAAGTAAAATAAAAGAATTTCTTCACAGTAGATAAGAGCAAACAAATATAAGAAAAGGATGCTGTCAGCTAAAGACTAGTGCTACAGGAAGACTTTAACATGAACTGAAATTGATATATAACATGAAATTTTTAAAAACATTGCCAGCATTGAATAAAAGAAAACAGTACAGTATAATTTATTCATAAGCTAAAGGAGTGTGTTTATTATGTCCTAGTAAGAAATGACTGAGAAATACTTAAATTGATTGATATTTTAATTTACTAAAAGGAGCTAAAAATAAGATCATATATAAAAAGTACTTAGGATTTTATGTCAACTATAGTTAAATTTTAAAAAGAACTTATAAAATATCAATACAAGTGCAATATACAATTATCAATAATTTCTATCACATGATTTCTATACAATAGGCTTCAATAATTGAACAGAAGTATCAGCTATTTTTTCTAATATAAAAATGCAATTTCTAGAAGGCTGTCTCACTACCATGAATTACAGAGAATCTCACAATTTTGACCATATGTATTTTAACAATTTCAAAAGCTCTTAAACACTCTGAAATGTGATTGAATGTGTGAAATATAACATATTTAACAAATATCTTTAACACTGGAATGACTATGAAGACATTGGGAGAAACCAAATCCTACTCCCTGAATGTTGGGTGCACAAGAGAGTTCTAGTTTCACAAGGTCATTGTTAAGTAAATATGACAATTACAATGCATTCTTTCATTTTAAAGATGGTTTTGATTTGCTCACAAAACAGTTATATCATGATTGTGAACATAAGCAGTTATTTTACAATATTCCTCCCAAGTGATGTCTTCTTATTTCAAAAGTAATAAGTTTCTCATTTATAAATGAGAAACCTTGAACTTTCATGGAAATTCCATGAAATTTTAGATAAATACAAATCAGTTCAATTCAGTCGCTCAGTCGTGTCCAACTCTTTGCAAACCCATGAATCGCAGCACGCTGGGCCTCCCTGTCCATCACCAACTCCCGGAGTTTACTCAAACTCATGCCCATCGAGTCGGTGATGCCATCCAGCCATCTCATCCTCTGTCACCCCTTCTCCTCCTGCCCCCAGTCCCTCCCAGCATCAGGGTCTTTTCCAATGAGTCAACTCTTGGCATGAGGTGGCCAAGGTACTGGAGTTTCAGCTTCAGCATCAGTCCTTCAAATCTACAAATACCTAAGAAGTTCTCAGCATGAGGGCACAAGTTGGGGTTTCCCTGGTGGCTCAGATAGTAAAGAATCCGCCTGCAATGTGGGAGAACTGGGTT